CTTTTCCTGAGAGATGCACTGCGCTGAGAGATGACATATCAGTAGGTGACAGCATAGAGACCCTGAGGGATGACTGCACTGAGAGATGATGTCGCAGCTGGACCCCTCTCGGCCACTTTCCTCGAAGTTTGGCATATTCTCTTTGTTTCCAAATCTCCGCAGTCCCAGGAAGCCTACATTCAAAACAAACACCATGTCACAAAGGAGTCTAAATTTGAATTATCAATGCCTGTGAATGTGGTCCATTCAGTGAATGTTGTCCGTTCAGAGAACCCGCAGTCAGCATCGATATAAGACTGGGCTACTACTGTGAGTTTAGGACCAACGGGGTGATAATATGTGGCGGCAACTGCAGAGAATTGTGCTCCATTGAATAAACATTGTTTGTCTTTGATGCTAAAGGGATAGTTCACCCAAATTACATATTGGTTTTGCACCCTGTAAGCGGTCTATGGAGAAGGATGACAGCATCCATGCTTTGTTTCCCTGGCACTGTTTCCAAATGCTAACGTTTTAGCATTTGTGGCACAAATAAATTGCAAGTCATTGTAAGTCATGTCCAAATCATCTATAAGTGACTTAGTTGAGCTACCCAATCAATTTGAGATACTTAAGGATGATTTGAGCTTGATGTGTGAAAAATGCTAATATAGGTACGATAACTTGCGTCGGATTTGTGCCACAAATGCTAAAACGTTAAAATGTTAGCATTTGAAAACAGTGCCAGGAAAACAAAACCAAAGCATAGATTGCTGGCATACTGTACCTTTTCCATAGACTGCTTACAGAGTAAGGAAACCAATATGTAATTTTGTAATTTGGGTGAACTATCCCTTTAACAACGAAGTTACAACAAGTTAGTTCTAACATTATTACCTGTGTTCCTCATAAACACAATGCATCATTTTTATAACACATTGAAAAATAGCCTATAACTGAGACACCATAGTTAAGTATTCATTTCTTTATTTAATAATGCATGCCAGACATGATCCTATTCATATTGAAGAATACAGATATGCATTTGCATCCAAATACTCACTACTGTGAGGCAATTTAACATCTCTCTCTCCCTCTCTCTCTCTCTCTCTCTCTCACTCAAACTCTCTCACACACACACACACACACACACAAACACACACACACACACACACACAGAATGTATTTCTGTACATATTCAGTGGAAGAACTGCATGCATTAAAGGACACTAAATAAAGTGAAACTGCTGGAAGATAAGTCCCCTCAAGTCAAACTACAATATCAGCATTATTGCAGAAATGTGCTTGGACTCCTCTTTAGCATACGAGTAGCCTACTCACCAACAGATTGAGGGGGGAAAAAACCTATTTGAATTATAACCATAATCTATGATTCACAAAACTGTTTGCTACAGTATAGGAAAATATTGAGAAAATACTGTACATTAGGTTTTGTTGGATAGCATTGGCAAAATTCTCAGTGTTAGGCTACTGTCATTTCTGTGTCCTCAGACATACATAGAACTCCCTCTTATTTTATATATTAGTATATTGTACAACAGCCACATCAACATATACAAACATTTATAGAGCATTTACACATGATTTAGAAGTGTTATGGACATGTCCCTCTCCATTAGGAAAACAAAAATACTTATTATGTCCCCGGGAGGGCTGAGAGCCCATTCACTGAGGTTAATTAAAGGACCCAGGACCCTAACCAGTGCCTGGACAAAAAGCCAAAGGGGAACCAAACCATCACCTTATCTCTCCTCTATTGCAACGTAATGTTCTTCAACGAGCGTGTTCAATGGTGTTCAGCCATCTTTTAAACAGTTTGTTCACTTCTTTTAAGCTTTCGCTTATTTTTTTTCTAAACATTTTGAAAAAGTGAACTATCCCATGTATTGTGAGACATAACCGCACCAACAACTAACAACATGAGAATCCAACATTGTGCCGTTTTTTTTTCATGACTACCTGCACCCTTACACTAGTTTTGAATAAAAGCCCAAGCCCGAAGGCCTATTCTGCACACTTTGTGATCGTGTTAAAGCTCATAGTTTGGTTTTAGTTGGTTTGAACTTTGACTCCTGTGTCCACAAAAGGGGCAGGAGGGTTGGGATTCATGGAACACAACTGAAGTGAGAGGTCATATTACATTTCCTTACACAAAAAAACAAAGAAAATATAGATCTAAGGTCCCATGAGAATTTGTGTTGAATGCATATGCACAGTGATTTGTGGAGGCCTGTCTGCTCAAGAAAGATTGAAATATTCCTTATTTTACAACACATTTCCTCCATCTGCTCAGCGTCACTTCCACATCTACATCCTTACAAAACAAAGAAGCAGCTTAGGAAACGTGTGAAAACACCCATTCAATGGTATTGGACATTGATAAGGCAAATGAAACATCCACAGAGAGCAGCCAGTCCCCCCCTCCCCCCCATTTCATTTAGACGTTTTAATGTCTGTGAATTTCAAATAGCCACTCCATGCTTGAAAGGCACCCTCAGTTTGGTAATGCTTGTAGCGGAGTATTGCTTTAAAATATCCAACTTACATTAAAAAATATATTTTTCTCTTTGACAGCTGCTCAAGAACATACAATATAAACAAATTATTCAATACTTTAACTATGATTGCGATGTACAATATAGTAATTAATCACATCATATATTAAGTAAATCATATAATACATGAGTGCTTATAGGTGACACCTTTTGTAAATGTTAAAAGCTTGTAATAATTCAATACTTTAAATTAGACAAAATAGCACTGAGAAGATATAAATAGTATTTTCGTATTTCAAACAGCCATTCAATTATTAATTGTAAGCAACAAAATAGGTAAATATAAGCACAATCAAAACAATTGCAATGTAATTCAATTGAAGTGATGTAATATTGATCAAATTTAAAACACAAACATATATATATATATTTTTGAGATCCTGTGATGTAAATGTTACTCATGTAGATCCAGTATTACAAACATGTTGTAACAGGTATTCCACAACAGTCAAATATTATGAGTTGTAATAAATTAAGAGATTTAAAAAACACTGGTTCTCTGCCATTGCTTTTTTACATCGACTTGAAAGGTGCCTCTACCTCTCTTGAAATGCATAAGATTCATAGAGCTGACTCTTTTGCAAATGTTTCAAATAACTCCATCTTGTGGAATTCAGTTCTCTAACCATTATTTTCTAGCCTACTCATGCAATGTACAGTATTCTGTGGTCCTACATATTTTGCAGACAATTCTCTGCCGTTTTCAGTTTACCATTCTAGGCGATTACTTTGGTCAGTCTGGTAATTCAATTTGAATAGAAGAAATCATGAATGAAAGCCAAAAAAAGTAAGAAGGACGGATCCAATGATAGTTCATAGGCCAGTGTCTGTCTAGCTTCGATTTCCAGCCTTCTAATCTTGAAGCTCACTATTCATAGCGAACAGGAGATGACAATGTCTGACTACTCAAGACTAGCAGGTGTCAGACCCAAGCAACAGAACGCTGCTGCCACAGAAATGAAAGGAATGGGTACTATTACCAGTCATGTTTGATGTTTGGTTGCTAAAAAAACGACTTTAATGGTTTTGATTTTTATGTGTTCCAATTTCAAAATGGGCTTACAGTTTGGGATGAAGGACTCCTCAAATAGGGTCACAGCTCCCTCTTGTGTCCAGTTCTGAGTTTTTCACTGAGCAAAGGAGATCTAAGGGAAATAATTATAACAATGGGATGATGCTGGTGTATCAAACAATCTGTTACATTAGAGGAATTGTTTTGGCTTTCCTTCACCCATTCCATACACCTTGCAGGCATTAGAGTGCATGTATGATTATGTGTGTGTGCGTGTTAACACTTTGTTCACTCCTCTACACTGTAGGCCACAGTGACAATAAGCCCGGGTGACGGGATTGGACAACGCAAGGAAATAGATAGACACTTATGATGAATCTACATTTAAGTAAATATCCCATCTTCCTTGTTACTGAGGCCATGTAGGTAATACATTTTAGTGCCCTGATTTTGACCCTTTGGGTCAGTGCTACTTGACTGTCAGTGTGCATGGATTTTAAATCAGGGACATGCATTATACTTTATAGAGCGCTATCATATCCAGAAATTCAACCTGCATCACCAGTTGACTGGTCTCTATGTGTGTTCTACTACAGTCACTACTGCTGCAATCTAGTTCACCAGACCCTTCCCCCTAATGCTCAGACAGTCTGGTGGACCAAAGCTTCAAACATGGCCTTCATTAACCCAATAGAAAGATCAGGGAAAAAGTCCCGACCCATAGCCATTGGCTTTATTTCTAATCAATCAGCTCCCTCCGAACACCTCAGCTCACCACAAGTTTTTTTATTCGGAGCCACAAATAGGCCACATTTGAGTTGTTGGTGTTTCAGGCTTATATGCGATATGTACAATTTCCCTGGGGACTAGGTTACTACTGCTGCTGCTACTGTTGTAGCATGCAGCTACAGTAGCATGCAGTACTATGTCAGTGGTGGAAAAACGGAGTGCTGTTTCAGTAGTGGAAGCACAAAAGCAAAGGGTCATATCCATGGGTATGGGCAGGTTAAGGGCAGAGAGAAAATAAGGAGAAGCTGAGGAAATTTGGGGTTGAGGAATACTGACCTATAGTTATATATTGTCAGGTGGCCAAGTTGATCATTTTCTAAAGACTGACTAAACTGTTGTATCCGAGATTTTTTTCTATACTTTCTATGTGGACTAGACTAATGTTCTGTGACATGATGCATTACAGTAATAGTGTGTTGACTTGACAAAAAAAATGGTAGACAGACACGGCACATACCCTCCATCACCAAACACGCAACGAGAGTCAGCTTGAGGAGGAGGTAAGAACTACCCTAGCTTCATAGCACTTTAAGACTGGTAGGTGCCCTCCCCAAGGCCCTTGCTTTCTCCCCCCAGCCAGCCCTATGGTCCTGTATAACATGTGAATGTGCCCTGTCCCGTTCCTGTTCCCTTCATTATTGTCACGTGTAGTTATGTCTGCTGTCGAAGCTGCGGAACGCAGAGGGGGTGGTCAGCTTCCTCATGGAGAGGCTGTCTGTCTTGGCGTCGTGCCGCGCCCCAGACTTGGTCCTCAGGAAGGGGTTCCTGGGTTCCCCCATCCCCCCACGGTCTGCACCCCTCTCCATCCTCTCACTGACCGACAGGCTTTTTCTGTTTGGAGGAGGGTGAGAGGAGTCGTCTGAGGAGCAGCTGTTGGCTCGTTCCAGCCTGGAGAAGGGCGAGCAGAAGGGGGTCCCACTCGCCCCTCCTAAGCCCCCCCCCATGCGACGGGGCTCGGGGGCAGGGGCCAGGTCCTCTAGGTCTTCTGGGTCTGACTCTGTGTGGCTGAGCTCGGCCTCGCGCTCTGGGTGGGAGGAGCTCATGTCCAGTGGCTTGTCAAAGGGGAATGAGGTGGAACCTCCGGGGGACTGGGAACAGTCGCCGGTGGTGTAAGGGGCGGAGACACACCTGGTGTCTATGCAGTCGGTGATGCTGGTGTACTCAGCCGCTTTGACCTGAACCCCTGCCCCTAGGCCTCCATAGCAGTCTCGCGGTGTGAACATGAGACTGTGAGACTTGACCAAGTGAGGCTCTTCCAGGTAGCCCCTGCCGCCAGTGGACAGGTAGCGGCTGCTCTTGGAGCGCTCCAGCAGGCCCGCTGATGGGGGCGGAGAGGGGTCCAGCTCCCAGGGCGGCATGGTGTTATCTGGGAGCAGGTAGGCGGAGCATAGCGACAGGTCTGCAGCCACGCTGTCGAACACGGCCCCACCCTCCGAGTGTCTGTCGCCCAACCCGCTGCCTCCGCCATAGTCCCTCCCGCTCGACAGCACCGCCTCCATAATCTCAGAGTGGAGCGAGGAGTCACGCTGGAGGGGAGGGGCCATCATCAGTGGGTCGAAAAAGACCTTGGCTGGCCCCTCCTCCTCGGATGCCGACACAAAGATGTCGATGCAGGAAGAGGGGCGGTGCTGCTGGGAGACGGACAGCGTGGCCAGTGGGAGGGGCTTAGATTCCTTGGGGGCGGTACACAAGGCCACCGACTGGGAGCTATTGGCTCGTTGCAGGCTGAAGGAGCGCTCCTTGAGGAAACGGTCAGCCCTTTCGGGCACGGCTCGCTCGTGACATCCGCCCACATAGAAGGAGTGGCTGCGTGTGCGCGTTGCCAGACTGGTGGGGGAGGGCGGCGACATGGAGCCCTCTGCACCCTCATTGAGCCGGTAGGAGTTCCCCTCTTGGCTGTTGAAGCTGCTTTGGCGCAGAATGTATGCCGCGTCTGGGCACTCACCCTGACGCAGCATGTAGGCCGAGTCTGTGCAGTCAGAGGAGGTGCGTGAGCGGGCCTTGTTGACCTCGCCCCGCTCAACCCCTGTGACTCGCTCCAGAGCCACAGCGATCCGACCAATCAGCTCCTCCATCTGGGCCAGACGGATGTCCACGGTCTGTAAAGATGCCTTCATGAAGTGTTCTCTCTCATTCACCTCCTCCAGACGCATGGCCATGTTCTCCACTCTGAAACAGACAAAGAGAAGAGAGAGAGAGAGAAAGAGAGAAGAGAGAGAGAGAAAGGGGAGAGAGAAGGGAGGGGGAGGAAAAGAGAAGGGAGGGGAGGGAGAGAGAGAGAGAAGGGAGGTGGAGAGAGAGAGAGGAGGGAGGGAGGGAGGGAGAGAAAGGAGGGGGAGGGAGAGAGAGAGGAGGGAGAGAGGAGGGAGGGAGGGAGAGAAAGGAGGGTGAGGGAGAGAGAGAGGAGGGGGAAGGGGGAGAAAAATAAGGGGGAGAAAGAGAGAGAGGAGGGGGTGAAAGTGATTATATGGTCCTTGACTGGAAATAATGACAGCAAAGTAAGAGCCTACATCATGTGTTGTACTTAAAGGAGAAGTGTTCTTTTTTAGAACCCGATAAATTTTTTTTGATGCAAATGGCATGTTATAGCAGGGTCCAGACACCTTTTTTTGTGAATTCACACGTTTTTGAGAAACTTACCCCAAACAGAAAATCACTTCCTCATCCTCGTTGTGTAGTATTGGGGCCGTGAAAAAAACATAAACAAAGGCACCAAATACACCCAAATACATCCTTTTAGAAATGGCAAAGCTCTCAGTATACTGATGCATGTCTTTAGATGTTGTACTCATGAAATTGTGTTGTTCTGAACATTATCCTCAACATTATATTCCATTTTTTTGCGACTCCAGCAATACCATGTCATCCATTCTACAGCTAACTGCGGAAATAAAGGAAACTTTAATAAATTAGGGACACAAAGTATATTGAAAGCATGCGGAGCTTCCACACAGGAAGTTCCAGGCACTTGTAGAATCTGTGCCAAGGCGCATTGAAGCTTTTCTGGCGGCTCGTGGTGGCCCAACACCCTATTAAGACACTTTATGTTGGTGTTTCATTTATTTTGGCAGTTACCTGTAGCAGCAGGCTACACTGAGAATGGAACAGCTGGATAGGGGAAATGGCTCGAGTCGCACAAAACTGAATATTAAATTGCGGATAAAGTTCGTAATGACACAATTTTATGTGTACAATACCTAAAGACCTGCATCTATACTGAGAGTTTCTAAAAGGACAAAAAATAAAGTCCTCTCACTGTCAACTGTGTTTATTTTCAGAAAACTTAACATGTGTAAATATTTGTATGAACATAACAAGATTCAACAACTGAGACATAAACTGAACAAGTTCCACAGACATGTGACTAACAGAAATTGAATAATGTGTCCCTGAACAAAGGGGGGGGGGGCAAAATCAAAAGTAACAGTCAGTATCTGGTGTGGCCACCAGCTGCATTAAGTACTGCAGTGCATCTCCTCCTCATGGACTGCACCAGATTTGCCAGTTCTTGCTGTGAGATGTTACCCCACTCTTCCACCAAGGCACCTGCAAGTTCCCAGACATTTCTGGGGGGAATGGCCCTAGCCCTCACCCTCCGATCCAACAGGTCCCAGACGTGCTCAATGGGATTGAGATCCGGGCTCTTCGTTGGCCATGGCAGAACACTGACATTCCTGTCTTGCAGGAAATCACGCACAGAACGAGCAGTATGGCTATTGGCATTGTCATGCTGGAGGGTCATGTCAGGATGAGTCTGCAGGAAGGGTACCACATGAGGGAGGAGGATGTCTTCCCTGTAACGCACAGCGTTGAGATTGTCAGCAATGACAACAAGCTCAGTCCAATGATGCTGTGACACACCGCCCCAGACCATGACGGACATTCCACCTCCAAATTGATCCCGCTCCAGAGTACAGGCCTCGGTGTTACGCTCATTCCTTCGACGATAAACACGAATCCGACCATCACCCCTGGTGAGACAAAATCACGACTCGTCAGTGAAGAGCACTTTTTGCCAGTCCTGTCTGGTCCAGCGAAGGTGGGTTTGTGCCCATAGGCGACATTGTTGCCGGTGATGTCTGGTGAGGACCTGCCTTACAACAAGCCTACAAGCCCTCAGTCCAGCCTCTCTCAGCCTATTGCAGACAGTCTGAGCACTGATGGAGGGATTGTGCGTTCCTGGTGTAACTCGGGCAGTTGTTGTTGCCATCCTGTACCTGTCCCGCAGGTGTGAAGTTCAGATGTACCGATCCTGTGCAGGTGTTGTTACACGTGGTCTGCCACTGCGAGGACGATCAGCTGTCCGTCCTGTCTCCATGTAGTGCTGTCTTAGGCAACTCACAGTACGGACATTGCAATTTATTGCTCTGGCCACATCTGCAGTCCTCATGCCTCCTTGCAGCATGCCTAAGACATGTTCAGGCAGATGAGCAGGGACCCTGGGTATCTTTCTTTTGGTGTTTTTCAGAGTCAGTAGAAAGGCCTCTTTAGTGTCCTAAGTTTTCATAACTGTGACCTTAATTGCCTACCGTCTGTAAGCTGTTAGTGTCTTAACGACCGTTCCACAGGTGCATGTTCATTAATTGTTTATGGTTCATTGAACAAGCATGGGAAATAGTGTTTAAACCCTTTACAATGAAGATCTGTGAAGTTATTTTGATTTTTACGAATTATCTTTGAAAGACAGGGTCCTGAAAAAGTGACGTTTCTTTTTTTGCTGAGTTTATTTGGGTGTTTTTGGAGCCTTTGTTCAAGTTTTTTTGGTGCCCACATACTACACAAGAGGATGAGGAAGTGATTTGCTGACAAAAAAGTAAGAGCCTACATTAAGAGCCTACATTATGTGTTGTACTTAAGCATGACAGGATTATGTTTGCTCATGTCCAACCTCTCTGACGTCACTCGGATCCTCTCATCATTCGAGGAGTTGAAGCGGTCATCTTTCTCACGGAAGTACTCCTCAATGCACTGCTCCTCAAAGTCATGAACTTTCTTCAGCTCATCTTCAGTGATGAAGAGCTCTGTGATGGAAAGATGATGAAAAGCAACATGGAAGGATAAGCGGAAACAAGGAAGGATTAATCAATCTATAGCTAGAGGACTCCTGATATCTAAAGTATCTTAAGTATAATTTTTGTCTTAATCTGTTGTTGTCTAGTACTGTCCTTTTGCTAGCTACCCAACTAACAATTCTAGGGAGAGATAATGTTTTTGTAATGTTACTCGTATTGTTCCCCTAATGTCTGAGTGTCCAGTTTTCCGTTAGTTAGGGGAACAATCTGTGTTAGCAAAAACCTTCTGAGAACCTTTTTAGCATGTTTTGGCATTAGAGTTAGGAGAATATTCCATAAACGTCCCACCAAACATACACAGAACATGATTGCCATGTTTTCTGAACATAAGATATTAATGTTCTAGACACGTTTCACGTAACGTTGCAAGAACGTTCGTGTCCAGTTTTATGAGGGTTAGGAGAATATTCCATCAATGTCCCACCAAAACTTACACAGATCATGATTGCCATGTTCTCTGAACATAAGATATTAATGTTCTAGACACCTCTCATGGGAACGTTGCAGGAACATTTCTGTGTATCAGTTGTCAGGATGTCGCCTGATGTTTCTGCTGAGTTGTTCTGCAGAGTTATTCGAGGAAGGCTCCACATCACTCTCTCACCTGAGTATCTTACCTAGTTATTTTCAGAAGATCTCATTTAGCTCTTTTGTAGATTTGTCAACTAGGTGTGTGTTTTCTATAGCTGTTCGCTCCTCTCCCTTAAGAATTTACAGACGCTCCCTACTCCTTGGCTGCAACCATTCTAATTTAGTGTACCCTGCATGCATAACCCATGTGGAATACCTGGTCTCCTGCAGCATTTGGAACTGCCCATCTGCGGTCAAGAACGCGCTTCAGTCCCTGAAACTCAGACTATTTTAGTAAATATCTTCTTGAAGCTGCTGTGAAGTGGAATAATATTTTCAGCAGCTGCTGGGTAGGTACCTTGACTTGTTTACAAGTACCTTTATTGCTAGCCTATGTTGAATTACTGCATGTTTTCATAGCTTTCCTAGCTAGCTAGCTGGCTAAAATTTCGGTCTGCTCTAAATTCCTTGTAAATATCTTGCTGTGCGACCTAGAAAAAAATCACCCAGATAATAATTGTGATGATGCCATAGAGAATAAACTGAGCTCAGATTTGTGACCTTTTTCACAACTACTACTCACAAGCCTCAGCCGCTAAAGCCGATGCGAATGACCAGTGCACAGGTGTTGTATTGAGGTGCCTGCTGACCTAAGGTGCTTCCACTGGGCAGCTCTATCAGTGTCGCCGGCAGTAGCTGCTAACATGGCCAATTATTTTCCCTCCCAAGATTATATTTCAAGTAGGATAGCAGCCTACACAAGAAATACATAATATTGGTAGCCATCTAGATGTCACCGTGACACAGTCTACTTAGTGGGGAGAGCATGAACGGGCAACAACACCAGGACATAGTGTCCTACTTAGCTGTCACAACCCTGTGACACAGGCTGTGTGATTCGGTTTACTAGGCTGTCAGCTCAACAAGCTCTCAGTCTCACTGCGCAATTACAGGTTTATGCACCTTGCTCCAAACGTCAAATTTCAAAGTATTTTTAACACCCTGGGTTGCTCCTGCTACTCTGTATCGTTCCATTTATCCAAATGTCAAATTTAGAAGCTGCTGTTCTGTATCGTTTATTTTCTCCAACGGTCAAATTTCGATGCTGCTCTGTATCATTCCATTTCTCCAAACGTCAAATTTCGAAGTTAAGGGTTACGTTTCGGCACTCATTCTGAAAGGTTGAAGGGATATTTCGGTTTTCAGCATGTTACACCTCATTTTCCACATACTTTTAGTGTTGAAGCATCATCCAGACAGTTGTTTTGGTCAGAGTTCCATTCCTGAGATTTATTTGGCTGGCTTAATTGCTTGCATGAGCCATATAGTGGTAGTGGCCAGACTCACAACAAAAAAAATTCTTCAAAATGTCCGCACAAGAAACTCTACAGCCATCTCATATCTTTGTGGGCTATACACGCATGTCAATATCAAAACACTTGGCTATTTCCACTATTACGAGAATTAATGTGTATAACTCGAACTGTGTTTACTTCCTGTTTGGCCTTGTCTTGGAACTCATTTCTACGTCACTACTACATCCGCGTAGCCACACCTCCAAATTCCACAGAGGCTGGTTCTCAAGGTTAGCGTAGTGCAGATACAGCTTTCAAGCGCTACACCGCCCCAAATCCTTCAATCCAAATCAAAACATGTCTCAGTCGGACAGCTACGAGCCTGAAGAGGATGCATTCTTCTGTGGGTTTTATGGCGGACTACAACCCAAAAAAGTGCCGCCACAAACTGGACAGGTTGAAACCAAAACAAGGTAAAAAGAAAATCCATACGTGATAGGGAAACTAACTTAATCCACACAAATAACAATATTACATTGACAAAACAAAACAAAACTCCCACTTCTTCCATCTTTCAAATCTCCATATCTCCCTTCTCAGGCTCTAGGGCCTCATAGGGTGGTACAGCTTGTGACAATATTCCATGTAACTCCTTCTCTGAGAAATATTTCAGCCCCAGGAACCGCTCCACCGCTTCCACATTGAATTCTATCTTCCTGGACCTTCACTCCACCTAGGCAGTGCCATTTATCACTATAGTTTTAAAGGCCACAAAGTCCACCTTCTTAACCTTTAAAATGTCAACCCCTGCAGCCTGCAGTGAAGGCCTATCCACCACCATGGACTCTTCAAGTGCACCATTCACACCCTCAATCTTTTTAACAGCTGCTGCATATGAAATGCTCTGGATAGCCCCGACATTGGCCACCTCATTCGCTTTCACCCTTGTGGGGCATTCGAAAGACGTGGCTTCATGGTTCCCACCACAATTGCAACATGACACATTTTCATCACTTTAATAACACATAAAATGATATTTTCCAAAACTTGGATATCTTGTCTTCTCCCTTCTGCAAACACTTGAAACATGACCAAAAGCGTTACAATGATCACACTGCATTGGCCTTGGGATAAATGCTCTGAATGTAGTTAATATACCCTAACCACACTTCAGTAGGGAGAGACTCCTTATCAAAAAACAAAAGATAGACTCTTAACTTTTTCTTCATTCACCACACGATTCATCCGGCGTGCATCAAACACTCCAGGATTTTTTTTCATCTTGTCAATATCTACTTCCCACAAGACTCCAGATATAACCCCCTTGAGGGGTGCCCTGTTCCTAAGAGACACACACGACACTTCAAACTTATCAAATCGGGTGAGACGCAACACGTTTCTACTGATCCTCAGAAGCACAAAAAATCTAAACCAGCCCGCCTCTCGTGATCCTCACAGCCTTCACTCTACCCAGCATTCTAAGAAGAGGATGCATACTTTGCAGAACCATATTTATATGAGTCAGAATATATTGATGAAGAGCTTCGACAGATAGAAGCCGAGACAGCACAGTGGGAAATGACAACAGGTGATCCGGCAGACCAGCAACCAGCAGCAGCGCCCAGAGAGAGAGTCACTGGGAACTGGTGGTGTAAATGTGAAAAATCTGAGAAAAATGCACATCTGACTGAAATTGAACATCTGTGCTGTTCCGATGGGACTTGATAATGCCAACATTTGAAGAACTAAATTTGTCTGGCAAAGACACTGATGATGTCAGTCACAGCACAACAGTCTGTGTGACAGATCATGCAGATTTCCCAGCTCTTATCAACCCAGGCGTAATTAAAAAGTTTTTCCATGTCCCTAAAATCAACTGAAAAAAAGCCAAAGAAATCTCAGGAATGTAAGTATCCCGTTAAGGTAGGGGTTAAGGTTAAAATAAAAAAACTGAGTCTACCTTTGGGATTGAACATGCAACTTTCAGATTCTGAGTTATGGGATTACACCCATCCGTCATCCCTATCCACAACACTTTAGCAAAACCCAAGCCTACTTGACGGTAATAGCGCTCACTGTTGCCCCTAGTGGCCGGTTTTGAAAGCATTTTCTGACGTCCAATTTCGAAGTCTATCATTTACATTTTACATTTTAGTCATTTAGCAGACGCTCTTATCCAGAGCGACTTACAGTTCGTGAGTGCATACATTATTTTATTTTTCATACTGGCCCCCCATGGGAAATGAACCCACAACCCTGACGTTGCAAACGCCATGCTCTACCAACTGAGCATCCCTGCCGGCCATTCCCTCCCCTACCCTGGACGATGCAGAGCCAATTGTGCGCCGCCCCATGGGTCTCCCGGTCACGGCCGGCTACGACAGAGATCATCTCCCTGCTCAGCTGCTGGACATACTGTACATCCATGTAACCTCTCAACAACATTGTGCCTTAATGTTACAGTATAAGCTAAACCTGTTCACTTTACCAGTAGTATGCAAACATTTGGTGGCACAGTTGAAATATATATGGCAAATAGAAATCCTAAATGGATGGTATGAGATAGATGGGTGGTGTTGAATGGAGTTGAAGGATGGGACTAATAATAACTAACAACAACTAATAACAAGGTAACTAATAATGTAAGCATACTGTGTCCATAATAAGTATATAGGTTGTAGGTTAGGAGCTTTTGTGAAAGAGCACAGTTAGAAAGATATGGCATATAGAAGCAAACCGGATGGACATCATGAAAATGATCGGAGAGGTTGAGAGTAGAAGAAGTTCAGGAGAAAAAACAAACAAAATATAATTATTGTAAAATTGACTGTGTCCATAAAATGTATATGGTAAGTATAAGCTGGAAGTAGAGGCCTAAGCATTGTTGTTCACTAGTTTACTCCAATTAGGGAAAGGGTGGTGGGGTTGGAAAGTAATAAAGGGGAATATATAAAAAAAAAAGGATATGTATGTGTATGTATGTGTGTATGTATGTAAGTGTATGTATGTATATGTATATATGTACTGTATGTATGTATGTATGTATGTATGTATGTATGTATGTATGTATGTATGTATGTAT